TTCAGTGAGGGGTCGACTCGAGACCAGCGGCAATTGGATCATTCCAATTCGTGAATGAATCGTTTGGTGTGATTTGCGAACCGATTTAAAAGGTTAATTGAAAATAATCAGTTTGTTCATGAATCAGACACCGCTTCTGCGTCTCGGAGCACGTGATATATTATAAGGAGTAACGATAAGTTTTATGAAATGTAGTGAAGTAAAAAGTACGATCTTATGCTTTGGAATGTAGTTAAGTAAAAGTAAAAGTTACTCAAAATAAAACTACTCCAGTAAAGTACAGATACTTGAAAAATGTACTTAAGTACAGTAACGAAGTAAAACGACTTCGTTACTGTCCACCACTGCTCTCACCCATGGAGTGTTCAAAGCGGCCGTTTGTCAGTTATACACTAGCAAATTGATTTGACGTTACACAGATATTATTACTATTGTTATTCATGAATTTTTTATTAATCATTAATTTTAGTATTTACTGGAACTGAAGTACTGTATTTGTGTCATTCATACTCTGTTTATAGCATTGCAGCTAGTGGAAGGGCTAACCAAAAATGCTGACATTTGAATCTTGAACAGTAAATAATAACAACAACAACAACTATTATTATTATTATTATTATTAACCACATCAATTAATAACCACATTTAATATGAATGTGCGACTTAATGTTATTAGTAAACATTATATAAATATATCCAGGTTTTATATTATTATTATTATTAACACCAATTAATAACCATATGTAATATGCATGTATGACCTAATGCTATTAGTAAACATTACATAAATATATCCAAGATCATCATCATCATCATCCTCATTATTATTATTATTATTATTATTATTATTATTATTAACCACACCAATTAATAACCACATTTAATATGAATGTGCGACCTAAGGTTATGAGTAAACATTATATAAATATATCCAGGTTTTATATTATTATTATTATTATTATTATTATTGACACCAATTAATAACCATATATAATATGCATGTATGACCTAATGCTGTTAGTAAACATTACATAAATATATTCAAGATCATCATCCTCATCATCGTCATTATTATTATTATTATTATCATCAATAGTGATATTATCAATAACTAAACAGTTTGATGTGGTAGCGTGTTTTCTCCTTCAGAGACATGATTTCACAGGCGACATGTGAACTGCAGTTGCAGAACAGCAGAAGCTGTGAGTGTGTGTGTGTGTGACAGCGGTGAAGATTGCTCTGTCACACACCCTTATGTAAGGACTCAGTCATTCTCACACTACGATTGACCTCCCAGCAAGCGCAAGGATCCACGGGTCAATCCCCGTCACTTCTCATCAACTCACATCACATGTGTGATTGTCTTCGCCCACACTTTCAACTAGTTCACCGAACATTTCAGGTCACGGGCTTCCAGAATGACGCAGTTCTCCGAATCAACAAAACAATTAATAACCACATTTAATATGAATGTGCGACCTAAGGTTATGAGTAAACATTATATAAATATATCCAGGTTTTATATTATTATTATTATTGACACCAATTAATAACCATATATAATATGCATGTATGACCTAATGCTGTTAGTAAACATTACATAAATATATCCAAGATCATCATCATCATCATCCTCATTATTATTATTATTATTATCATCAATAGTGATATTATCAATAACTAAACAGTTTGATGTGGTAGCGTGTTTTCTCCTTCAGAGACATGATTTCACAGGCGACATGTGAACTGCAGTTGCAGAACAGCAGAAGCTGTGAGTGTGTGTGTGTGTGACAGCGGTGAAGATTGCTCTGTCACACACCCTTATGTAAGGACTCAGTCATTCTCACACTACGATTGACCTCCCAGCAAGCGCAAGGATCCACGGGTCAATCCCCGTCACTTCTCATCAACTCACATCACATGTGTGATTGTCTTCGCCCACACTTTCAACTAGTTCACCGAACATTTCAGGTCACGGGCTTCCAGAATGACGCAGTTCTCCGAATCAACAAAACAATCCCCACCTGCCCCCTGATCTCCAGCTCATGAATATGAATGAATTAACCCCGGCGGATATTAGCATTGTCTTACGCACCCGCAGTTTGGCGGTGATCTGCTGTTCTGCGTTTCCCCCCTTCATCTCGCTCACATACCCTCACGCGCCGAGGTTTGGGCCTCCCGTTCCTCCCAGCCGCGGGGCGGAAATCTTTGTCAGCCATCTGCATATTGAAAAAGAGAGCTCTGGCTCTTTTAGCGGACACACATACTCAAACGCTGGCGGACACGTATGCACTTTTGCAGCACGTTCCCTCACACAGACATTTGCAGAGCGTATCTGTCTTTCCCTACTTAAACACATGCAGTTTTCCATTTCACACGCCTCGGATGCCGTTCGATGCATGTCGTGAACCCGGTGCGAGAGTTAGCTGGCATGGCGATGAGCGGTCATGCTTAATGTCACAGCTCAGCGAGGATCGGCCAGGAACGTCGGCTCGGGAGAGTGAAATACAGCCCTTGCGGTGAGAAATGCAGTGCAGGCCTGAAAAAGAGCAGTGTTATTATTGTCCGCTTCGGCCGCTCGGTGTGTGAGTTTTGGCCGGCGTTTCTGTTTCTTTATTATTATTATTTTTATTATTATTATTATTAGTAGTAATAATAACATTTATTTTTATACCTATAATATTATTATTAACTCACTCATATTACTATTTTCTCACCTTCATGTCATTCCAAACCTGTATGGTGGTGTTTATCCAATGGAACACAAAAGGTGATTTTTTTGACAGTGTTGGGGAAGCTACTCTGAAACTGTAGCTTGACCAACTACAAGCTACATGTAAATTAAAGTAGTTAAGCTACATTCAAGCTACCCTTCTGAAAAAGTAGCTAGCTACACTACAAGTTACTACCAAAAAGTAGCTAGCTACATCGAAACTACTTTCAATTTTTTATTATTATTTTAATGTTTTTTTTAACATTTAACATTACAAATAACTGAATAATTGTTAATAAAGAATTATAATGAAGTTATATGTAAAAATACGATATTTGGGGTTTAAAACATGCAATCATGATTTCAAAGAGTAGGGTGAATTCAGGTTGATTGTGACACATTTTCCAAGTCATTTCAATTACAAAAAGTGTCCCAATCGTTTAATTTTGTAAACTATCCGATGCACACAATAATAAAATATAGTTAGCCTATATAGTTACATTATCTCAAACTGACTGTCAAAGTGCAAAATTGCTACAAACGTAACATCAATGCAAGAACAAAAGGTTACACTTTACTTGAAGGGGTGTGCATAAGACTGACATGACACCTTCATAATCATGACATGACACCTACATAATCATGACATGACACATGTCATGAATATGAAGGTTTTTTATGCATGTTTATGACAACTGTCATTAAGTGATGTATGCAACTTAAACTGGATACGGAGGAGTCGTAAAATAAGCAGGTTAAACTCACAACACATGCATTATTTACTGACTGTGAATGGAGCCTCTCTGAGACGTCAATCATCAGCTGCACGCGTGAACACTGTGCTTTGCGTGGAATCCCACTGCAACCATCCTTTGCCAAATGATAAGCACACTACTACATCGCAATTTTATTTTCTGTTCGATTAGTGTTCATTACAAAACTGTGGGGGGACAGATTATATTATGATGGTTCATCATTGCAAAATAGACATTTGATAGAGTGCAATAAAGCACGAAAATTAATCCGTTTAAAAAGGCTATTATTCATCCTCCCGTATGTGCATTAAGTCTTCGGTGTAGACCACATTTTAATCTTTGATTTGCATAAATTACAGTTGATTCATGTGAAATATCCACTCCTGTACATCCTTTGCAAAATCATCGATCTCTTGTCAGTGGACAGACTGTAAAGCCGCGAGATGCGTGATATCACAACAGATGGCGGTAATGAACAAATTTAATTTGTGATCTAGTCAGAAGACGCTGCGCTGCTTCAATGCATTAAACACAAAACAGAATGTAGCATTTGGTCGCGCTACACCGCTACTTGCTGGAAAAAGTAGTTAGCTACTGGAAAAGCTACACTGTTTTAAAAGTAGCGGAGCTACTGTCACGCTACTGAAAAATGTAGTTACGTTAGTAGCGTCGCTACTTGTAGCTAGCTACTCCCCAAGACTGATTTTTGAAGATCTTCACGCAGCTGTTTTCCATATATCAATGGTTCATAGTTACCACAACCTTTAAATGACACCAAAAAGCACCATAAAAGTAGCCTATATGACATGTACGCTTCATTCCATTCCATCTAAAACCATATGATAGCTCTGTGTGAGGAACAGGGTGAAATGGAAGTTAAATGTAATTATGCATTGATGGTCTTGCATCAACTGTCGTACTAGCTTACCTGCTCAAGATTCTTCAAAATGTCTAATTTTGTGTTCCAGAGAAGAAAGTCAGATGGGTTTGTAACAACATACCTGTATAAGGGTGAGTAATTTTTTTCTCCCTGCTTCGAAATCACACTTTCAACATGTCCTTTCTTTTTTGTGATGTTTGTAGGAGCGTATTATCGAGCGTCTGAAGGAACAGAGGGATAGAGACGAGAGAGAGAAGAGCGAAGAACTGGAGAGCAACAAGAAAGAGCTGAAAGAGCTGAAAGAGAAAGTCAGCTTACTGCAGGGAGAGCTGTCCGATCGCGAGGTGAGAACTTGATTTTGCATAAAGTAATGAACAAACTAATGCTTTATTAAAGCCAGTATTGTATGAAGTTGATGATTTTCACAATCTACAGTGTTTTTGTAATGATTTTTACCTTGTAGTGACATTGGTAAAAAAAAATTTTATGATTACATAAGATTTATGTTGTAGGAGTGAGTCAAACCATATCTAGGGTCCAAAATCTTGTGTACAGCATCATTTACAGTGTTGATGACCATTACAGGAATAGTTGTGCCAAAATGAGAATTTGCTGAAATTTACTCACCCTCAGGCCATCCATGATGTAGATGAGTTGTTTCTTCATCTGAAAAAATGTTGTGAAACTTATCATTACATCACTTGCTCACCAGTGGATCCTCTGCAGTGAATGGGTGCCGTCAGAATGAGAGTCCAAACAGCTGATAAAAACATCACAATAATCCACAAGTAATCCACATGAATCCAGAAACAGGTTGAAGTTAAACCATCTTAATGATGGATTTGTTTCTTACAAACACACAGCTTTTTGCTTGACAAGACATTAATTGATGGACTGCACTCGTGTGGATTACTTGTGGATTATTGTGATGTGTTTATCAGATGTTTGAACTCTCATTCTGACGGCACCCATTCATTGCAGAGGATTTTAAATTTCTCCAAATCTGTTCAGCTGAAGAAACAAACTCATCTCTATCTTGAATGTTCTGAGGGTGAGTACATTTTAAGCAAATTTTCATTTTTGTGTGAACGATTCCTTTAAACTGCTATATCATCTTGCAAGCATACGCTCAGATTTGTGTAATCTGTTTGCATATTTGTGAACAGAAGTTTGGGTTTGCGGTGTAAATATTGCAGTCATGAATTGTGGCCTGTACGCCCAACTAAAATCCACAACTAATCCTAACACACCTAAACTAAGGACTCTGCTATCAGGAGAACTGTAATTAAATGCTAAACTATTATTTTATGAATCAGCTTGATGTTTCTGTGAAAATCTTTGCACATATTTGCAAAAGATTAGCCTGGATTGTTTCTGGATGATTGTATGATTATATCTTGCATTTGTGAAAGCAAGTCAAGTTACAGGTTTTTGTACTGCACAAACAGACGTTCAGCTGACCAACAAATAGCTCAGAGGTGGGCGTCCAGCCGACATCTTGTGCAATTTTGCATTCATATTGTTAGTTCAGGTGGCGGTTTCGCATTTATAATGCAGTAATCCTCTATAATGTGTCAGGTGTGGATTAAAGAGGTTGAAGCGGATCCCAGGCAGCATTAGGAGCGTCTTCCTTAGATTGCACTATTGGACGAGGTGCTCAGGCTTGATAGAGACGGACTGATTTTGCAGCCGTCCACACAACCCCAGAGGAGCTGTAGTGATGAGAACAGACATGCTGGACCCGCAACACTGTCAGTCCTGCGTGTGTGTGTGTTTGTAGGACAAGAAGATAAATGGCGGATTTTAAATGTGAGGGAACGGCACGTCCCAGAGAGCAACTGCTCATTTCTCTTTCTGTCTTCAACTCTGCACTGTTTTGTCTTTTCTTCTTTTTTTTTGCCTTTTGCCGTCTATCCTTTCGCACTTTCTTGTATTTTGTCTAGCATCTCTCCAATAGCCTTTACGTCAGTATAAACAGAATAGTTGACCCTATAAATGAAAGTTTGGTCATCGTTTACTTACCCTCATGTCAATCCAAACCTGATTTTTATTTTTATTTTATTTTATTTTATTTTATTTTATTTTACACTTTATTTCGATAGTCCACTTTAGACATTCTACTAACTATAAGTAACTTTGTAACTACATGTCAACTACATGTCAACTAATTCTCATTAATTTGCAACTACATGTCTACTAACTCTCAGAGTAGACTGCTAGGGTAGGTTTAGGGTTAGTAGAATAAGAAGAAGTTGACAGTGTTAGAAGATATTAAGCAGACAGTCTACTAATACTCTACTAACTGCTAGTTGACATGTAGTTGCAAAGTTACTTGCTGTTAATAGAATGTCTAAAGTGGACTATCGAAATAAAGTGTTACCTTATTTTATTTTATTTTATTTTTTTATTCAGTCTTGGTATCAATCAAACCAGTTTTGAGAACTGGATCATTGAATTGATTTTTAATGAAAATGATTTCAACCTTCAACTCACTGACTAAATGATCCAGTTTTAATGAATAACAGCTCACTGTAGTTGGAATAACGATTTCAGTTTTGACCTTACGCGGCTTCTGAAGATTTGGAATATAGTGCACAGGTCATATGAACTACTTCAGAACTTTTATGGTTCTTTCATGGTGCTTTTTATGGTTTTGGTCCTTTTTGTAAGGTTTTGGTCTTTTTTGAAGCTTGAAAGCTTCAGTCCCCATTCATTGTAATTGCATGGAAAAGTGACCAGTACAATATTCAGAAATCCTCCATCTGCGTTCCGTGGAAGAACAACAGTAATACGGCTCTGGAACGACATCAGGGTGAGTAAATGATGACCGAATGTTCATTTTTGGTTGAACTATCCCTGTAATGACTGCGTTTGCTTTCCCACAGCACTGTGTCTGTGGCTGTTTTATTATTCAGGTTATTCTTGTTTGCTGTGATCTCCACATTCCTCTCCGCTGTCTGCCTCTAGAACATTGGCGATGCACATCCCCACCACTAAACCCCTTCCTGTCTCAACCCCTTACAGTAGTTAGTTCCTCTCATCTGTATCTTTCTCTTTCCCTTTCTATTTCCGTTTGCCAATAGAAATTCCATATTGTGGGTGAATCTCATGAAATCACGTTTCACACCAAAATTGTAGAGGAAAAAAAAAGAAATTATATTTTGCATAAATAAAATGAAACCTATTTAGAGGATTAAAATAATGACGCAATGCAAAACGACGTTTAAATATTAAATCTTCAATACTCTCATTGATTCTAATTAGTATTTTTATTATTTTTTAAACTGTATTACTAACAGTTACTGTAATACAACGACATATCCAGTACCATTCAAAAGTTTGAGGTCAGTAAGTTTTTGTTTATTATTTATTTTTGGTGTATTTAAAAAAAAAAAAATTATACTTTTATTCAGAAAGGACACATCACATTGCTCAAAAGTCACTTTTATATTGCTACAAAAATCTATTTCAAATAAATTATATTCTTTAAACACACTGCTGGTCATGAAAGTAGGCTTAATTTTATTGTAGTAAAATATAATTTTAAATTCATTTCTGTTAAATTTGGGGTTAAATGTGCCCCAGACATCCTAACAGGTTTTGTGAGATCCACCCATGTCCATTCTCCGCACGTGAAGCTCAGAGCGTCAGTGTCCTGGATATTTGTGTTGGATCACGGCTGCTGTCCTGAGCCGCATGCGGCAGCCTCCCATCGCTCAGCGTCCTGTTATTTCCCTCTCCTTGTTTTTCCTGCATTGTGTTGTTGGTGAACAGTGACCTCTTCGCTCCCAGCTCTTTCGGCCTCCCCTCCCGCGCTCTATTCATAAAGTGTGGAGTCCAGCACATCCCATCATTCCCCTCTCCTGTTTTCTTTACCAACGCGAGAGAACGCGGTGCGGCAGTATGAACATTAAGTGTGTATTTTGGTCCACGGACTCCAGTCGAGTGTGAAATTGTGGGGCTCTCCGGCTGAAAGCGGAAACGGCTGGAAAGGCCTCATGGATGGAGGGCTGCAGTTTTAACAGCGTGTCTGAGACTCTGCTTAAAAAAACAGAGCGCTGATGTACTGCATATGTGCAGAGGCCTGTACATTATAGCACACGATATTTGTGATATTACTGTTGAGATGTAACAGCTACTGTAACTCTAAATCGTTCTCCTGTTTCATGTTTTATCACATTATTCCTCATAAAAGCCTGTGTGCTGTTAAAGGAACAGTTCACCAAGGACTGGAGCTTTCCTCCGTCAAAAGGATTCAAAGGGAACCGTAATAGTATCGTAAAGCGGTCCATATAACTTAAAGCGCTATATTCAAAGCCTTCTGAATCCATATGATTGCTTTGGTTGAGAAATAGACCAAAATTCAAGTTACTATTTTACCTTCCAGTAAGTGAGTCAGTGAGCAGAACTTAAACTGGATCATCGGGTTTATGAATGAATCATTTAGAACTCAATCAAAGGATTCATTGAAAATATTTGACTCTAAAAAATGATTCATTCATACTTACTGTAATGAACTTTTTATGAACCCATAATGGCAGATGTCGAGATTTTCAGTGAATAACAAGGAGCATTTTGGTTTGTTTGTTGTGTGTAATCAATGTATGAGCTTCAGAATGTGTATGAGACACTTTTTTGGTGCATTTCCATTTTTTTATAAACTAGAAAGCTCCAATCTCAATTCAATACGCAGTTACACCAAAGAAAGACAAACATAAAGGTTTGAAACGACTTGAGGGTAAGTAAATGAGTTTTTAGATTTGAGTGAACTGTCTCTTTAAATGTTTTTGTTTCCGAAACCAGGTCCAGTTTATTTGATCCAACCAGTGCAAATCATTTTGATTGCGTGTTTGTATACAAATGTGCGTTTTGAAAAGAAAAAAAAAACTGTCACATGGCAATTTGTCTTGGCTCTTCGTGCTTCCTGATGTTGAAATTGGCTCGAAACTGGCTGGCTGTGGTTCCAATCCGCATATTTACATGTGTTTGTGCTCAGGTTGTTTCAGTGCAATCAGGGACTGTGGCATGACGTTAACAAAGTCTCCTCCTGCTTCTCATTAGCTCCCTCCCCCCCCGCCTGAACCTGATCGTCTAATGAGTGTTGCAAGCAGATTTTGAGATTTCAGGATTTGATTTATTTAAATAGATATGTTACAAATGTTGCCCAGCTAGACTGCTCTCTTGGAACAGGTTTTGGAACAGCTATTTAATGAATTTCATATCTTATGGCTCCTGCACACTGTCCAATCCGCATATTTACATGTGTTTGTGCTCAGGTTGTTTCAGTGCAATCAGGGACTGTGGCATGACGTTAACAAAGTCTCCTCCTGCTTCTCATTAGCTCCCTCCCCCCCCGCCTGAACCTGATCGTCTACATTCAGAGGTAGATTGTTCAATAAGTGCTCTCTGATTTAACCTTAATTTCCCTTGCCCTCAGGCCTCTCTATTGGACCTGAAGGAGCACGCCTCGTCCCTGGCCTCCTCTGGACTGAAGAAGGACTCCAAGCTGAAGAGTCTCGAAATCGCTCTTGAGCAGAAGAGAGAAGAATGCACCAAATTTGAGAGTCAACTCAAGAAGGTGAGCCAGACAATTGGATGGAACTGAAGCATCACAGCTAGCAAACACACAGTCTCGTCATCAGCTAAGCAGCCGAGAACGCCTAACAAGCCATTAGGGTGACTGGCACGCCGTTAGCGCTACATTGACAACACTTAATACAGTGACAGCGAGCTGAATGTTCGCTCAAGTGCACTTTACCTGTGGAGTTTTTCCTCTGTCGAGTGCTATAGAGGGAAGATATTAGCTCTGTTCCAGACCTGAGCGAGACTGTGGTCAACATAGGCTGCTGCCTTCAATGACAGCATCCTAAATTAATCAGAATCTTATACTTGACTCATTTGAAACACTTCAACAGCACAATTATGTTAACAGGCACTCAAATGCAAGTGCGAAAAGATACTTAACAAACATTCATTCCAATAGAGTCTGATCAGAAGACTTTTGATATATAAAGAGGGTGCACTTGCATACTTAGGAATGGGAGAAAGAGCAAATGCAGAATATAGCAGAATAAATCCTGCCTTCTAAATAAAAGGCATGCACTTTTTAATGCCATCTGAGCATAAGAAACATTTATGGGGCCGTCATGTCAGATTTTGTTGCTGATTTGAAATATGTAACTTAATTATGAGTGTTGCAAGCAGATTTTGAGATTTCAGGATTTGATTTATTTAAATAGATATGTTACAAATGTTGCCCAGCTAGACTGCTCTCTTGGAACAGGTTTTGGAACAGAGCTATTTAATGATTCATATCTTATGGCTCCTGCACACTGCAGAGATCTCTGATAGGGCTGGTTGGAACACATAAGATTTGATTTAAGGTTGAGGAAACTTTTTCAGAAATTTTGATCACATTGCACTATGTAAATTCTAGTGTGCAGGTGCGCTTACGCCTCACTTCTGTGACTCGTGTCTTGGAAACTGCTATGTATGTTCCCAATTAGGGCTGCACGATATTGGAAAAAACTGATGTTGTGATATTTAGTTCTCCTGTGATTTATTATTACAATATGAAAAATACAGTTTTTTTTTTAAACTGTTGACTAAAAAAAATTATATATATGTACAGTGTATGTTTGTATGTATAAATATATATATTTATATATACAGTGTATGTATGTATGTATGTATATATATATATATATATGAAAAATACATTTATATTTATTAATTGTCATTATTATTACAGTACAAAAATAATGTCAAAACAACAGTGTTGTAATGTAAAAAATATTAAATAAAATAAATAATTTGGTTTGATTTTATAATACACTGTAAACTTACAATATTACTATTAACTATTAATTACAATATCAATGTATTTTGGCACATTGTCAGCAAATAAGTGTTCACACTGTTTGTTTTTGAGTGAAGCATGGCACTGTTCATGTTTTCCGCTCATGATAGTGCTTTTCAGAGTGGTTTGATTCACAGTAAATGAACTAAGCTGCTTGGAGATGCTAAAAGACATTATGAGCTGCATGCATGTACTGTAAATGAACAGTGCCATGCTTCAGCCATAAACAATATCAGTTTTATTTCGATATATTGAGCATATCGTATTCCCAATCATCTCAAGTCTCTTCTTTTTGTAGCTCATGCTACTTCAAACCACTACAAGTGATGTTCTGACACTGCTTGATACTCCAACCATGTCTGTGACTTCTCTCCTCTTCGCCATCTGTTTTCACACTCTTCTAATTCTGTCTTTTCTCTTGTCTTCTTTCCTCATCCTGCCTCATCGTCTCTTGATTTTTAACCAGATCAAATGTTTCTCACTTTTTGCTTAAAAAATATTTCGTCATCACTCTCTGTGTGTATCACCCAATTCTGTTTTCTTCCCCAACCCCTCTGTGTTTTTCTTAAAATTAGAGAAGCAACATAATATCTGTTTTAACTGAAAGCGCTGCTCCTCTCAGCCACTCGCTGAACAGAGCAGACGCAGAGAAAGAGAGACCGGCGAGTCTCAGAAACTAAATAAGGTTTGGGCAAATCCTAAAGATTTGTCGCTAGGCGCTTTTTATATATATAAAAAAATAAATCTAAATCTAGCGACAAATCACTAAGTTGGCAACACTGTTAAAGCATCTCCATTTCTCCAACTACAGGCTAGGCCACGGGTCAAACAGAATGAATTTGCGTTAACGTGTTATTAACGCTTTCATTTTGACAGCTCTAATATATATATATATATATATATTT